AAAATAATTTTGCTTAGAAGATATACTTCTTTGAATAAATTATTCTTATTTTTTCATTTCATTTTTATACAAAAAAATTTATATAACCTATTTAACTTCATGTGGTAGATATTGCATCATGCATCAATTATTGTGATACATGTATGTACCGATACATGTATTGAAAAAGATTTATTGTCCCAGCTCTAATAATATATCATTTACCCGATAGCTTGATAGCTAAATTTCAAGACTGACATGATAAGGTCATCATCATGTGTGAAACTTTGTATGAATACATTTTAGCTCACCTGAACTGAAGGCTTCAGTGAGCTTTTCTTATCATATTTTGTCCGTCGTCTGTCTGTCTGTAAACTTTTCACATTTTCATCTTCTTAAGAACTACTGGGCCAAATTTAATGAAAGTTAGTACAAAGCATCCTTTGGAGAAAGGGAATTTAAATTGTTAAAATGAAGGGCCAGAACCTCTCACAAGGGGAGATAGTTAAGAAAAGACAAATATAGGGTGGGGTCAATCTGGGCCAGAAAAGCTGAAACTTATGTGGAAGCATCCTGGGGTAGTGTAGATTCTAAATTGTTCAAATCATGACCCCTGGGGGTTGGGCAGTGCCACAATAGGAAGTTTTACTTAAAAATATATAGGAAAAAATCTTTAAAAAATCCTCTTCTCAAGAACCACGGGGCCAGGAAAGCTGAAACTTATGTGGAAGCATTCTGGGGTAGTGTAGATTCTTAATTATTAAGAAATAAACTTAATATAGATAATATATAATGTATCTTAAGGTGGCATAAATTAAAGTTTGTTTCAATCATGACCTGACTGAGGTGTAGAGTGGGGCTTCATCTATAAGGATCATGACACCTAAGGTAGAATGGGTTCAAAATAGAGATTAGAAGTTTTTCATAGGAATGTATGATAGCAAAAATCCACTGATGAAGAACAGCAGGGTGATAATGAGTCGGGTGAGTGTTTTTGTCCATGGGCCTATTGTCTTAGAGATGAAGCTATTTTGCACTTAGAATTTGATCAAATTCTTTAATAGATTGGTTAGTTTTACTCCTATTAAAGTAAGCAACACAAGTTTTTGAAACTTTGAAATTAATAAAAACTTCGTATTGAATGCATAACATGTCTGTCTGTCTTCCATTTAATTATATAAATTATTTGTGGTGTTGTAAGCAATGTAAGAGTGTAAGGTATGTTATCTTTCTTACTTTTTCTTTCATTGTGTCCAGCTGATAAATGCTACAAGGCCTGCTAGAATAAAATAAAAAAAAATGCTTGTTTGCAATTGCCGCCTGGAGAGTTTCAGACACAGGAAAAAGGGAAATTATTTTTTTCTCCCAAAATTGAAGATCAATAAAAAAATTTTAAGAGGGGGTATTTTAATTAGGCAGGAGGCTATTCCGAATAAACAATTAAATATTATTTTGATCTCGACAAACTTTTAGCATATGTATCTTGGAAAGAAAGTGTGATCAATGCATTTGTAAGTCTTTAATGAAGCTGTCTTGCTGATAAACTGGAAAAGTATTAGATGTAGAACCATAATTATTGCATTTATTGGGTCTCTGTGATCTTCAATATTAGAAATAATAGAAAAGTTCACCATATTAGGGTGGTATAAGTAATTTGGTAAAGTACATGATGTAATATTATTAAAAATGCTTGCATCAAGAAATGCAGATATTTCACATGTTTCATGGAATACAGGTTTAAATATGTAAAATCTTTTTATGTGCCCGGATCAATACGTGAGTTTCGAGATTGTAACTCTCCTATGATGGAGGCGCAAAAAGTATCCATTTCAGCATGGAGGTGGTACAGGCTATTTCTGTATACAGACATGCATGAATAAATGAAGTTCAATGATATTTATGGTATTTAGTATTTATTAAATGTTGTAGAAAGATAATGATGTTAAGCAGTAATGCATTTGATGATTTTATCAAGCTCAACTATGTATATTTACAAATCTGCTTTCAAATATATGTTTTAAAAAAGTTATAATAAGGAGAATTAAGAATCAATATTTCATTTAGATTTCCAATATGCAATGATCAGATGCATGTGTACCATACCCGGTATTTAACAATTAGAGATCCACATCTCTTCCCTCATCTGCAAGTCTCACATGCACTGATATTTCCTTTTAATTTGTTATTATTTTTTTGGCTTTAAAAAATTACGCCGGTTATTTTCGAGTTGTAGAATGCATCCTGACAATCATGTAGTGATGATAATCCAGTATATCAATGATGCAATGTATCCATATAAATGTCTGTCCCTCCTAGTCTGTTTACGCGGAAATGAAAATCCCCTCCTCAACAAAAGAGTGCACCAAAGGAGATTATCTCAAAATTTGTATATTGATTGAGGTGCATATTGATTTTGTCCTGTCTGTCTGTCTTCTATTAAACTTTTGAACCATCGGAGGTAGAAACTTCATTTAGAATGCATACTCCACTAGTTGTGCTCTTTCAAATGACACCATGGTCCAAGGTCAATGACTTTGTAAACTTGACTCTTTCAAATGACACTAAATCAATGACTTTGTGACCTTGACTGACCTATATGCTAAAAATAGCCTTTTTGAACCTTCATTATAACTTTTGAACCATAAGAGATAGAAATTTTGTATTTAGAATGCATACTCCACCAATTGACCAATGTCAATGACCTTGACTTTGATCTATGTGATAAAAAAAGCTTTTTGAACTTTGTTGTTGCCATATGCATAGTGTTTCACAAACACATCTTGTTTTTGTCCCCCGCTTGAAAAGTGGGGGATATTAATTTGGGTTTGTCCGTCCGTCCGTCCGTCCGTCTGTCCGTCCGTCCGTCCGTCTTTCTGTCTGTCTGTAACGCTTTCGTTTCCACACGATATCTCGAAAACCCTTTGAGCTTTTGCAATGAAATTTAGCATAGCAACTCCCTGTGGACTAAAGAAGACCCCTATTGATTTTGAGGTCAAAAGGTCAAGGTCATAAATAAGCAAATTCTGTCTGTTAAAACACTTTCGTTTCCACACGATATCTCTAGAACCATTTGAGCTATTGGAATGAAATTTTATATAACAACTCCCTGTGGCCTAAGGAAGACCCCTATTGATTTTGAGGTCCAAAGGTCAAAGTTCAAGGTCGTTAATTTATACATTCTGTCTGTGTGTAATACTATTATTTCCGGGCGATATTTCAAGAAGATTTTGAGCTTATGCAATGTAATTTTATATCAAAACTCCCTAGGACGTCTCTCGCCCCTCTCAAAGTGCCCCGCCCCGTTTGTTTTATTGGTATTTATAGTATTACATGTCGCTATTTTTAGCGCAAGGGCATGAGAGTTATTGCGTATAAAACAGGTTCTCGGCGGACTTTACATCTATTAGAACTGTTTAATAAAGGCTAAATAAATCAAACACCATGGATTGTGTAAAATTTTGAGAATTCCGAACATGAAAACATGAATATATACATGTATGTGACTTCACTTCTGCATATACTTCGCACCTTGTAAAGCGATTCCGTGGTCTAGAGGATATGTCACTCGCTTCAAGTGTGAGGGGTCCCTGGATCGAATCTCGATCGAACCTTTCTTTTTTTTCTTTTTTTTCTTTTTTTTTCTTTTTTTTAAATACTTTTTTTTTTTTTACTAAATGATAGTATTCAGCATGTGAAATGAAAAATTTATGAGGTTATAAAATCATCATTACAGTGTGATAAAAATTCCATATAAAAAATCTTCTATACACATAATGAAGAATAAGCAATCAAATCTTTATATGCATATTGACATACATGTATTTTATTTGCTTCAGTATACATGTATACATTTAATAATTCTACAAATTCAGTCAGGGGGAGCCGACTTTTTCCCTAAGCGGGGGACACGAATTCTCTGAATTAGCTTGTTTTTCTAATAACAACATACATATAGATGTGGAATGATATTATATAACAAACATATTGAAACAACTGATTTATCATAAAAGTAGAGTAAATTTATTCATGCAGTGACAGAAGGGATCAAATTCATAGTTTCAGTGTGTTCAAAATCTAAGGGTATGTTTAATTTTTGATAGAAAGAAAATTTCTTTTATAAGTGAAAGAGAGGGTATTATTTAATTTATTGTAAGAAGTCTGCCTTAATTGATCTGTTGGAGCCTATCTGATTATGCAGGTTAAATCCATATCTTAGGCCAAAATAAAAAATAGTCTTGTTTCCTGCTACCTGACCTACCCTATTTTTTTGCACCCGACCCTTAAGTTTTTTTTTAGCTTTTTGGGAAAAAATTCAAAATTTTAGAAATTTCATGTTTCAAAAGTGAAAAAATATATATATTCTCAAGTTGTATTTCATGAAATATATGTTTAGAATATGGACTTTCGTAAAATTACGCGAGAGTGAATGTGCATTCAAAGACATGGAATTTCATTTTGAAAGATGATATTGACGTTAGTTATCTAAGCTATTCCATGTTCAATTTGGTTTTGTAGTTAGTTCATATCCAAAAAAATACCATAAGTCCATTGGAAAAAATAAAATTAAATGAAAAAAATCAAATAATTTTCCTACCTACCTACCCTATTTTTTTCTGGCTGGTAGCAGGAAACAAGACTATTATTTTTTTTGGCCTTAGGTAATAAGCAAAGGAATTAGAGGGAATGAACACTTAATGTCAGTTGATTCCATTCATCAAACTATCCTAGATTTTGATGTTGAGCATTTTGTTATACCCCTGCTTGAAAACTGAGAGGGTATATACTTATAGTAATTGGGATGTCTGTATGTCTGTCGTCTGTTACGCTTTGGGGTACCAATCTCTTATCCGCAACTCCTCTCATACAATATATACCACTGATCAGAATGAAATTTGTACAATCACACCACTTTTGACAAAGTTATGCCCCTTGGACTTAGAGAAAAATTTCAATTATTTGCTGTTTCAGTTTACTTTCCTTGCAAAGCTTGCACATAATGAAATGAAATGTAATATACAGATTTATCAGATGAATATCTAGGTCAAGTTCTGTTTTGGGTTGCATTATTTGCTGTTTCTGTTCATTTTCTTCACAGAGGTTGCACATACTAAAATGAAATTTAGTACATGTATAGAGATTTTATCAGATGATTATGTAGGTCAGGTTCTGTTTTGGGTATGATCACACCATATTTGACACAGTTATGCCCTTTTCCAATAGTGTGGGGTGGGGGGGGGGGGAGGGGGCATAAGTATTTTACAAACATGTCTTGTTTAAGTTATATGAGATATACAGTGTAATATATTTTATACATGTAACAATCAAATAGCTTCCTAATGTGATAGATAGTTGAAGAGTTTTGTCAGTATACTGGATTGGAATTAGTAGTTTTTAGCTGACCTGAACTGGAGGGTCATGCGAGCTTCTCTGATCACATTTTGTGCGGCGCTCGTCTGTCTGTAAACTTTTCACATTTTTGGCTTCTCACTGGGCCAATTTCGACCACTTTGCCACAAAGTATCCGTGGGTGAAGCAGATTATAGTTTTTTTTTTTCAAACAAAGAGCTACACCCTCTGTCAAAGGAAGATAATTTGGAATTGTTTATAATCAATTTTGTACATATTTGATCAATCTCATTCATCCCTGTGTGTATCCGTAACAGAATTTGCTTAGGTACATATCTGATATCACTCCTCCATGGCACCTGATCCCACCTCTGTTGTTTCGGGGGTCCGTGTTTGCTCTGCTCTTATTTTGTATAGTTTTATGGACTTTGAGATTGAATACTGTTCGTTATCTCCATATCCTTCATCAGACTGTATATTCACATCAGAGCAGGAATATTACTTACAGTTTTCGACCTTGTGACCTTCCCTTCACTGAACCTTGGTTAATACTTATAGAGTAGACACCATTGACCCATAACAATGGTCATAACTTTTACATGAGAAAAGATATGGGAGTCATATTTTACAGGCACATTACTCAGGTGACCTATTGCTATCCCTTTTTGTCCGTCGTCGTGGGTCTGTCGTGCATTAACATTTGAACATTTTCAGCTTCTTCTCTGCAACCACTGAACAAATCTTAACCAAATTTGGCACAAAGCATCTGTGGGTGAAGGAGAACAAAAATTGTGAATTTCAGGTCCCTGCTCCCCTGGAGCCTGAGGGGTTGGGCAAAAACCACTAAAATTAATGAAATCTTTATTCCTGGACATTTAGCAGTCAAACTGTTTGCATGATTGTAATCAGCATTGAGTCTTCTACCAAAATTGTGAAATTCATGGCCCTGGGGTCAGGGGTTCTATTGCTAGGGCGGGGCTAAATAAGTATATAGTGAAAATGCATTATTTCTTTGAAAATCTTATTCTCAGCTCCTGGGTATTAAATAAACCAACTAAGTACATAGTTATGATGAGCAAGAGTGCCTCTACCAAAATTGTGAATTTTTTGGTCCCAGGGTCAGGGGTTCTGGTGTTAGGGTGGGGTTCTATAGATTATATAGTGAAAATACCTGAATTCTTTGAAAATCTTCTTCTCTGCCCCTGGGTATTAAATAAACCAACTTAGTACATAGTTATGATCAGCAAGAGTGTTTCTACCAAAATTGTGACTTTTATGGCCCCAGGGTCAGGAGTTCTGGTGTTACAGTGGGGCTCTATAGATTATATAGTGAAAATACATGAATTCTTTGAAAATCTTCTCTGCTCCTAGGTATTAAATGAACTAACAAAGTGCAAATTTATGATGAGCCAGAGTGCCTCTACCAAAAATGTGAATTTTATGGCCCCAGGGTCAGGGGTTCTGGTGTTAGGGCAATGCTCTATTGATTATATAGTGAAAATACATTAAATCTTTGAAATTTTTCTTCTATTCTCCTGGGTATTTAGCAGATTGACTACCTATATAGTTATGATTTGCAAGGGCCCTAATCTTCTAGAATTGTGAAATTTAAGGCCCCAGAGTCAGGGGTACTATAACGGGGGGGGGAGCTGTACTTATATAATGAAAATGAATGAATTGTTTGAAATATGCTCCTTGGTATTCATAAAATATTTTTGAAAAGCAAGGATGCCTTTTCAAAAATTGTGCAATGTGTGGATCTCGGCCTAAGGGTCAGGAGTTCATGTGTGGTAGGGGCACTACTGATTATTGCTGAATATTACTGGTTAGTTGAAATGCATTTTTTGTTCCCCTACCCTGCCTATTGGTATTAAGTTAACAAATTAAGCAACTGCTAAGTGTATCTTTATGATGATCAATGGTGCCTCTTTCAAAATTGTGGATGCCATAGCATCTGGCTTAAAACATGAATCAAATTCAATCACTGGAAAGTTGTTGCATAATGCTCAGGTGACATATAAGGCCCATGGGCCTCTTGTTTATTTGGTATCCTTATTCTAATTCAACATGAATTGTTTTGATATCTGGGAAAAATGTTATATTTTTTAGATGCCAAAGAGAAAGAGCTTGACTGGCAGAGAGAAACGCCAGAGAGATAAAGAACGCAAGAAGGAGAAGAGGCAGGAGCAGTCCTTGCTACCATCAGATCCTCCTCCAGATTCTGCTGTTCCGGCTGGAACAGTAGATGGAGCTATCTCAGCTCCACCCAGTAATTTTCCGGGTCAAGGCTCTATAGGGTTGCCTCCTTTTGAGGAAAAACCCTTGGCCAGGTTGCAGGCCTCTCTTCGCGAGAAAATGCAACCAACCGCCCTGAGTAACGCATCTTCTCAGGGAAGTCGTCTGTGTGCCCGAAACGGAGGCATGGCACCGTCCCCTGACTCCCCACCGTGGGTTTGTACTCCAGCGAGGGTACCTGAGCCGGACACCGTGCACGTGTCTGGCTCAGCAGGTCAGGCGCAGCTGGATATGTCATCCTCTCAGGGGGATGAGTCCAGCAGGATATTGATTGATGCAAACCAGAGTAAAAGAACGAGATCTAAAAGGAATATTAAAAGGAATTTACATGATGAAAATGAGAATATAGATAGTATACATGAGAGAAATAAATTAGAGTGCAGAATTGGAAGACTGTGTACTGGTGAACTTGGTGTTGACTATGCTTGTGTAAGTAAAGATGAACCCGTAACATTGGACAAGGTATGTACTAGAATTCAAGGATCTTTTCATCAAGGTGACTTAATGTTTGGTGAAAATGCAGGAACTCAATGTGTTGCGAACTCTTTAGCAGCATTAGCATACCATAAAGTAAAGAATTCTAATCAGTGGCAAACATCAGATATGAATAAAGTGTTAGCAACAGGAGATGAGCTTTATACGTACTTGCAGCGTAGTTCTACCATTGTCAGTAGGTACCTTTATGTGAACGAGTTACCTCAATTTTTTGAATGTTTTAATACAACATTTGAGTTCAAAGCATGTGAATCTTTATGCAGCCTAATAAATTTGTCAGATGTAGAACCAAACTATGATGAATTTAATGCATATTCACTAACAGATGCATTGCAAATTGGTCTTGGAGAAACAAGTGGGTGTTTTGTATGCTTCAAGGGAAATACTTTTTTTGGTTGGAAAAACAGAGGATGGCTTCTTTACATTTGATCCACATTCACGGTCACAATCTGGGTGTATGAGTGTAAGTGGAAGGAGTACAAGGATATTGTATCAATCGGTTGATGATATTTACCATCACATATTGTCCTTGGCAATGTCAATGGGAATTTCTGGAATTACTGAATGTGAAATAACAGGTGTTGATTGTTCAGTTAGTCAGTTTGCAACAACTGATAAACATGTAATTGAAATTGAGCGAGGAAAATGTACTCAGCAAAATAAAGACTTGAATTTAGCAGTTCAAGAAAACATAGACCTTTTGACTGCAAATGTTCAGTCCGATGCTAATGGTTTTCAATCAGTTGCCAATGATGATGTTGAACTCATTTGTAGTGAAAGTCATAGTATTAGTTTTCTGCCACTTTCTAACACAGTGAAATTACAGCTTTGTCAGACCCTGGGAATACCACAGTCAGATACAAATAGTAATGTTGAACAGGATTGCTTTGTGCAAGAAGCAGGTGCACCTACTGAATATGTTGAAATTGAAGGGGACGGAAATTGTTTTTTCAGGGCCATTTCATTTTGTTTGATTGGAGTAGAGGATTATCATTATGCAATACGATCAGCAGTGTGTAAACATCTACTACAAAATAGAATATTGTTTGAAACTTTTGTAAGATCTACAGAAAGTTCTGTTGAAAATCACTTGAATTTAACAGGTATGTCAAAAGATGGTACATGGGCAACTGAAATGGAAATTCTTGCTCTCTCTCACCTCTTGAGCACTGACATACATACATATACAGAAAATCACTGGGTTACATTCTCAGGAAAACAGGTAGAACCTATGAATGTTCAAAGCACAGGATCATTTTATTTAGTTCATCAGGATCAGAATCATTATAATGTAGTGGTGTCAGTTACTGAGAAAGAAACAGTTAGTTCCATGGAAAAAAATGCTCTGTATGTTGGCAAGAAAGGCTACAGAAAAAGACGTAGAAATCGAATTCGTATGAGGGAAATGCGTATCTTTTCAATGGCCAAAAAATTAAGTACAAATCATGAAAAGAAACTAAAGAATGAAAATTACACAGAAAGGAAATTAAGAGCAGCAAAACTGAAGTACAAAACTGACCTTCAATTTAGATTAAAGGCAATCGCAAATGGTAAGGAAAGATATAAAAGTGATGGAATTTTCAAAGCAAAGGCAAAACAAAGGAGCTTGGAAGCTTCTAAAAGAAAATATACAACAGATAGTATCCATAAACAATACAGGAAGAGAAGAAGTATTGAGAAATATAGGTCAGATATAGTACATAGAGAGAGTGTTAAACAAAGAAGTATGGATAAGTACAAGAATGATCAAGAACACAGAAAAGATGTTAAACAAAGAAGTAAAGAAAAGTACAAGAATGATGAAGAACATAGACGTAAGGTTAAGGCTGTTAATAAAGTAAAGTATCATTTTAGTGCTGCTGAGAAAAAGAAGAAGAAGGAGAATGTCCTGAATCAGAGACGAGCACTTAAAGTAAAGTTGGATGATGAAGAAGAAGTTATGAAATTGTTTAAGGAAAGTGTGAGAGATGGCCCAGACTACATATGTTGCTGTTGTAATCGTTTACTGTTTGAACATCAAGTCCAACGATGCACACTTGAAATGTATGAGAAAAGACATGAAGCTTATAAAATTGCACAGATTTGTATACAGAAGAAATGCTCCCATGATTGTACATTGTCTTGTCCAGAGTATTGCCCCCATTCATCATTGTGGATATGCTTTACTTGTCATAGGAAAATATTGAATGGGAATATTCCAGCAGAGGCAGCTGTTAATAAAATGTCATTAGAGGAAATTCCATGCGAGCTTAGCAGTTTAAACAGTTTGGAGCAGCATTTAATTGCTTTGCATATTCCCTTTATGAAAGTGATGGCTCTTCCACAAGGTGGTCAAAGGAATGTACATGGGCCTGTTGTTTGTGTGCCATCAAATATGGAAAAGGCAACAGCTTTACCAAGAAACAGGGATGACAATTTATTGTTAAGAGTTAAGTTAAAACGAAAGCTAGCGTACAAGGGCTATTACGAATACCAATTTGTTAATCCAACTCATGTTAACATGGCTCTTGATTATTTAAGGAAAGAAAACAAATGGTATAAAGACGTAGTGATCAATACCTTGTGGGAAGGAAATAGTGACCAAAATGATTTGCTATTTAATGAGACTAGTGAATTTGTAGATGAAGAAGTGAAAGAAGATGAGAGAGATGAAAATCCAGTTGCTACTGACACATGTTTACAGCCAGTAGATGTGGCACAAGAAGTTCTTGATCATTACTTTGATGATGTTTACAATATAGCACCAGGCGAAGGGAAAAATCCAGTCCGAATGTTGCAAGAAGAAGGAAACGAGGCAAAATCATTTCCACATTTATTTCCAAGTGGCAACTTTTCTTGGAATGAAGATCGAGATGTGAAAATAACCCTATCAAGATATTTTAACAACAGACTTATGAATGCTGATAACAGATTTGCTAAGGACACAAATTACATCTTCTTCTCTCAATACATGTCAGAATTGAACCAAGTAATAGAGAAAACACAAATTTCAATTCGAAAGTCTTTTTCAAAGCTTGATAGTGGAAATGCAGTAACATCTGAAATGTTACAGAATCCTGATGTTCTCTCAAGACTCTTAAGAAATGATGAAGCTTTACGGTTTATGCAACCTATTCGAGGAACACCTGCATATTGGTCGGCTTCTCAGAAAGATCTGTTCGCTATGCTTCGACAGTTAGGTATCCCAACGTGGTTTTGTTCATTTTCTGCAGCTGAATACAGATGGAACGAAATAATTGCATCAATTTTATTTCAAGAAAATGATTCTAGATCCCCTTCTGATTTAGACTGGTCAGAAAAGAGTGAGATTTTGAGAAGCAATCCAGTTACTGTTGCCAGAATGTTTGAACACAGATTTCATATGTTTCAAAGACATGTAATATTGTCACCTTCAAAACCTATAGGAAATGTTATTGATTTTTTTGTGAGAGTAGAATTTCAACAAAGGGGCTCTCCACACATGCACTGCTTGTACTGGGTTGAGAATGCACCAAAATTTGAAGAAGATGGTGATAAAACTGTTTGTGATTTCATTGATAAATATATCACATGCGCTTTACCAGCTGAAAATGATGACCAAGAGCTGCGAAAAATTGTTTTAGGTGTTCAACAACATAGTAAGAACCATTCAAAATCCTGTAGGAAAAAGGGAACAGACTGTAGATTCCATTTTCCAAGACCACCATCAGAAAGAACATTTATTACAAGACAATGTGAGGAGAAAGAGGAAGACTCTGAGAAATTCGATGGATTAAGTAAATCTCAGGCTAAAGACATTTTGTTGCATGTTTGGAATGAAGTTCTTGATGATATGAATGAAGGCAAAACTGCAGAGGAAATATTTTCTAAGATGCACTTATCACAGGATACTTACGAAATGGCCCACAGGGTATTATCTGCAAAAACAAGTACTATCTTGAAACGAAATCCAGATGAAATGTGGACAAACCAATACAACACATGCCTTCTCAGATGTTGGGATGCGAATATGGACATACAGTATGTCCTAGACCCATTTAGCTGTATTGTATACATAATTTCATACATATCAAAGTCAGAACGTGAAATGGGAATGTTGTTAAAACAAACTCAAGTAGAATCTGTAGAGGGAAATTTAAGTGCTCGTCAAACAATACGAAGAATTGGATCAGCTTATCTTAATCATAGAGAAGTGAGTGCCCAAGAAGCAGTTTACAGAGTTTGTAATCTAAAAATGAAAGAGGGATCAAGAAAAGTGGTGTTTGTTCCAGTTGGTGAAAATCCGACTCGACTGAGTAAACCCGTCACAAATGAAAAGAACATGTAAGAATGAAGATGATATGGAAGATGATGACGACAGTATTTGGATGACAAATATAGTGGAGAGATATGAAAATCGTCCTGATCTACATCCTTTTCCTGAAATGTGCCTTGCAGAATTTTGCTCAGAGTATCGTGTTTTGGCAAAATCTGAAATTCCCAAGGGAGTAAAAGAAGGCGTTTATGAATTGAAAAATGGAAAAGGTTACATTCAGAGAAGAACAAGAGCTAAGCCAGCCATAGTAAGATATCCAAGGTTCAATCCTGAAAATGCATCAGAAAAGTATTATCAGTCAATACTACAGCTTTTTCTTCCATATTGCACCCAAGATCAATTGAAACCACCTGGATTCAAGTTTTATCAGGCATTTTACGAAAACGGGTTTGTCAGAATAAGAACTGGAAACAAATTACAGTCTGTCAGGATTGTGGTTGAAAATAATCGTTGTAATTTCTCAAAGAATGAGGCTGCCCTTGAAAATGCTCAGGAAACTTTAGAAGTTTATGGTGAACCTGAAGATGCTTGGGCTAACCTTTGTCCAGAAACTGAAAGAAATCGAGATGAATGTCTAAACGAAAAGAGGAAAACAGAACAATCAGAAAACAAAGAACGAGAAATCACCCATGAAATTGAACATGATGGCGCTTCAGATTTGATATACCATATTAGGGAAAGTTCAAACTCAAGGGAAGAAATTTTGCCTTTACTGCGAAGTTTAAATGATAAACAAAAACAGGTTTTCTACATAGTTCGTGAATGGTGCTTGAAAAAAGTGGCTGAGAGGAATGTAGACCCATTACATATCTTTGTTACTGGAGGTGCGGGAACAGGAAAAAGTCACTTGATAAAAACCATACAGTATGAGGCCTCTCGAATTTTTGAGAAAATTGTTTTATCTCCTTCAGATTTATCTGTTCTTCTCACAGCTTTTACTGGAACTGCTGCTTTCAATATTGGGGGCAATACAATTCACCACATATTTTCTTTAACCAAAGCTCTACCTATTCCATACGAACCCCTGAAAGAACAGAGTTTGAGTGCAATGAGAGCAAAGTTAGCTTCTCTGCAGATTTTAGTCATCGATGAAGTCTCAATGGTTTACAAACGACTTTTGTATTACATTCATGAACAACTGGTACAAATCAAGAAATGCAAGGAACCTTTTGGCGGTATTTCTGTTATAGCAGTTGGAGATTTTTACCAACTACCTCCTGTGAAACAACGAAAGTTGGAAATACTCTACAAAGAAAATGATGAATATCCCATAGACTACTGGTTAGACTTCTTCAAAATTGTTGAGTTAGAAGAAATAATGAGACAACGTGATGATGCTGCATTTGCTACAGTTTTGAATTCACTACGGGTTCGAACGATCGAAGAACCAGTATCAGAAAAGGCGAAAACAATGTTAAAAGACTGCATCAGAGATGGACCAGATGAAGTACTGCATGTGTATCCTACAAATGAAGAAGCGAATGAGTATAATCTCAAGATGTTGCAATCAAGTTGTGAAGAACTGATAGAGATATCTGCAGAAGATTATCAAAAAGACAACACTACAGGAAAGCTGACTTTATGTGAAAAACCTTTCATACGGACAAGAACAGATGGGCTCTCTGCTTCTTTGGTGTTTTCTGTGTATGCTAGAGTGATGCTGACAAGAAATATTAATGTTGAAGACGGACTGGTGAATGGTGCGATGGGACATATTTCAGCATTTAATTTTGGACAAGCTCAGCAAAGAAATAGGGTAGAAGGGATTAGAATTTTGTTTGATAGTGAAGATATTGGAAAGCTGCAAGGGAAAAAGACGCCACAAGGAAATGAAGTATTGATTCAAAGAATACAAGAAGACATCAAGGAGAAAAATACAAAGAATGTTGTACGATATCAGTTTCCCTTGAAACTTGCATGGGCATGCACAGCACATAAAGTTCAAGGCATGACAACAAACAGCATTGTAGTAAATTTAGATCGTACTTTCGCTCCAGGACAGGCATATGTTGCTATTAGCCGTGTCACTTCACAAAATGGTTTATTCATAGAAACAAAGGATGAAAATGCATTACTGAGAAAAATTTACGCTAATCCAGATATAAAGTCAGCACTTTGTAAGATGGAGAAATTAATCCCAGAGCAAGATTATCCAAACTACTATGATGATCAAACCTTCAAAACAGTTGTTTTACTTAATGTGCAGAGCTTAAGAGCACATTTTCTTGACCTGAAAAGTGATGCAAGATTCCTCCAAGCAGACCTTATATGTCTCAATGAAACATGGCTGACAGACAATGATAGAATAAAAAATTTTGAATTTGATGACTTTCAATTCAATCATATTACAAGGAAGCAGTCATATGATGAAAGTGTAGACAGTTTTGCTAAACTTCGCAAGTCCAAAGGAGGAGGGGTAGGTGTGTATATGAAGGGAAACGAAAAAGCTTTAGTTCATGTTTTACCTCAGAAAAATATCGAAGGAATGGCTGTAGAACTTTGTGAGGAGGACATGGTTATCATTCTAGTATATCGACCAAGTTCTCTCAATGTCAGCTGGTTCCTTGACTCCCTTCAGACAGTTGTAGATTTTTTTAAAGAATTGTTTTCTCAATGCCTTGTACTCGGCGATTTCAACGAAGATGCACAATCCAAAGGACCGATTCTAAGAATGTTAGAAACCAGTGGATTTAAACAGAAAGTGAATTTTGCAACAACAGGCGGCAATTCAGTGTTAGATCATGTTTACATTACAGAACATATGGAAGCGAGAGTAGAGGCCATGCCAGTATATTACAGCTATCATGATGCTGTTAAAGTTTATTTAAAAACAAGATAGAACTTGTCTAATGAATATTCTATGATGAATTAACAGAGTTAATATTTTTAAAAATGTATTGTTTTCATAATCACTGTCTTTATATTTAGTTTAGAATGGACTCTGTTTAGCATCCTTTGTTATTTATGATTTATTCTCTAAATGAAAACCTCACCATTACAATATTTATATAGCAAACCACATTTTAGATCAAGGGGCAATTTAATTGACATCATCCAAAAATTATGTGTAAAAAGCATATCTCAACATTAACCGAACACAACATACAGAAATATAATTTCAAATGAATCATAGTCAGAATTTAATTGAGTAATCATTGCATCATGTGCATGTTAAGATTTTGCAGGATACAGGTAGTCATAAAAAAATTTAAGTGTATGTTCATATGACTCTTAAAATGAAGGGTTAAATTTCATTTTAAGAATTGAGAATAACATCGATTTGTTTTGCAGATGTCTGCTGAGATTTCCATGGCACCTTTTCACCTTAATCAGGAAATAAAAAGATGTTTTATCATGTTTATCCCAGTGTTATAAAATTTAAGAGGCTTTCAACTCCCATTAATTTATTGAAAGTCAATTTCATTAAATTTTAGTAACCGGTAAATAACCTTTAACCATCAAGTACATAATTACTCAGATTTTTGTCTTTGAGAACTCCAAGGCATGTTTGTTACATACATATGTACATATTGTCTCAGTTTTGTTAAAGTCATATACGCTATATGAACGCCGAATTTTGTGTGAAACAAAATGATTAATGATTTAAAACACATGAAGTCTAATGAAAAATAATACTCCACGAAATTGTACTATAGATGTCGTTGTAATAACAAAACAATTAAACAATATCTAGGAATTAAGAACTTAGTCTTTTCATGAATATTGATGAAGGAAGTGGGTAAACAGTAGGCCTATATATAGAAACACAGGAAATTTCCAACGGGAAATCACAGACAACGAGTTATGTTGCATTTTGACAACATTTATTAATATAAGGTTAATATGCGTCATAACAGAGAAGATGGTTGATACTGAATACATTAAAAGATAAGTACCATTAAGTAAGACGCTTGCCATCCACGTCAAAAGTGAGTAGTATCTCAAATGGCCTACCATGTTTTCTTTATGCCACGTGTGTTTATCAATCTAAAAGTAGCGACGGCATCACGTGATGGACTTATTTAAAAATAGCTATTTTTCTTTCCTTGCAGGATAATAAAAAATTATAATTTGATAAATTTGTAACGCGTTTAATTTTAATGGTGTAATTTACAGTATTTTCCTAACTTTTATTGATAAACAAATTATAACATTTTTCCAATCGTATTCTAACTGGTGCAAATTATAGCGTGTATACTTTTAAGTGTTGTAATATAAATTTCATTTGCTATAATATTTGAATACAATAAACACAAAATAATACATCAACTTTATCAGCAAATATGCTACATGTACTATAAGCTACATCATGTGCATAAATATAATTTACTTCTTTCATCTATCGTCACTTGGGCGAAGGAAACATACTGAAAATGGAAAAAGTGATGGTTTTCATGTGAACATGCACAAAAGAAGAGTTGTATTACAGTTGAATTGCCACCAGTATTTAATGTCATTAGGATATATATGGTAAAGTTACATGTGTGACTGATTTGAAGTATATAATGCTAAAATTTTATGAAAAATAGGTCAAACTTCAAGGTCACAAGATAAAAAATCCATAGGATATTTGGAAATGTCTTGTCACAACTTGCATACATGTGACAGAACTCATAACAAAACAATCACAACTGGAGATCTGACATTTTTCAGCTGGAGTTTGGGTCTCAAAGCTGGATATTTTTTATCAAGAATTTTTTTTTTCAAATTGCACAAGATCATCTGACCCCCTAGAAAACACCTTCTCCCACTTTATTACTTAATAATTTTTATATCAGAGAGTCTTGCTTAAAAAAATATAATAATTTTTTATTCAAATGAAGTGAAATTGAGTATTCAAAATAAAATAAGTTGAGTTAAATTAATTAAGAGTTAATCATCAAAACATTGGATTAAATTTTCTTTAAAATTTGATATATTATATTCATATTGATACATCAACCAGTTAGCATGGTTAGTGATGTAAAACATAGGTTTATGTAACATATTTTATGTCTGTAATTTGTTTTTAA